AAAGCAATCGATCTTGCAGGCATAAATTTTTGTACATCCCTCTTCTAAGAATTCCAATTGAATGTGTTAGTGTAGCCAGCTCAGGGCAATATGATATTATAAACACCAGCACATATCAGGTCTCTGGTGTTTATAGCTTCAGAGAAAACAAAACACATCATTCATAACAGAAACAGCTCGCAATAGCCACAGGAACGTTGCTGCAAGACAGGCATATGTAACGACGACTTAGCGCTCTTAAACGCGTGTGTCATTAAATACAGTCCTCCTGACAACAGGCCAGTGAAAAATCTAACAATCTACAGCAAAACCATCAATTATTATGGGCGTTATAACATACGTGTGCAGCTGGACGAAACATACACGTCGAACCCCCCCAGACGATTTAAATCCCTGACGAAACATACACGTCGAACCACGGTAACGGGTTAATCTTGTCCTTGATCTTGAGGATAGTGCAAATCGTTGATGTAGACCGATTGTATGTGTGTGCTAGATCAGCCACACTCACACCTCGTTCTCGCTTTTCAATGATTTTACTTTTCATTTCTACGGTTATTTTTATTCTCTTATGGCTGTCTTTTTGCAGCTTTTTCTTCGGTGACATTTTTGCGAGGGTTATTAAAATTTGCACAAAAAAAAATCACACAAGTTTGGAAAAATGTGTGATCACAAGCAACACTAAGACGCTAGCGGAATGAGTGCTAAACACAGACTGATGTAGCAAGCGCACAATCCGGGACCTCCCCTCTCGTCGCTCGTTAAGTGAGTCATTTTTTTATAATTTGTTTTGCTCATTATGAGAGGTGCTCGTTAAGCGAGTTTCCACTGTATATTGATTGTTAATGTCAAGTGATTTGTTGATCACTGTGTTTATAAGTTTTGAAGCATGTTTCATCTCTTAATGAGGAAATTTTTATTGCCTACATATTTAAAAAGTACTTTTCTCCAGTGAAAAATCCACTGTTTTAGTGTCCCTTGTACTGGGTAATACAAGTTTCAGCTTCTTAAATGTAATCACACATTCATTTCTTAATTTTTAAAAGATACTTGCACAAAGGCTGTAACTGCCAAACTATATCATATTCATGTATACACTTTGGATCAAAAGATTCCCCAAGAAAAACTACTGCTGGATACCAAATTTTACACTTCTGACTTTTTAAATAAGAGATATTTATGAAAAAAGACGTCCATATGCTAAAAAATACCCTTATCTAGGGACTTCTTAACAATAAAGAATTGAAAATCTGCAGAACTACTTCTTCATGGACATGTACTTTTAAAATAAAAATTACAAAACTAGTGTCAACATGGTTAAGAGCTTTGTTTGATTTGACATGGAATGCCTCTTTTGTGTTTCAGTACAACAAAAAAATATTGTCACATGCTACTGATTCATCAAGTCAAGTCATTAAGTCATATTATCACGAGTTCATTAACTTATGTTACATTTTTATATACTGAACAGAAGTTACACAATGTACTTATACTGTGTAGGATTTGAGATTCTAACAGCAGTGGATATGAAGAGTATTACCTTCTGGGATATAATGCTGTGTAATCCATTGAAAGTCATCCAATATTTCAAAGGATCTTCAGTGCTCAAGAATAAGCCAAGCAAGAAACATTGCTTCACTCTCGACAGACTACACGTCATTATATCCCAAAAGACAGTTGAGATAAAAATAAAATTAATATCAGTATAAAATTTGAGGAAGAAGTGTCTTTAAAGTCAACCACTGGGAAGTCAGGAATGAAATGAAAGGACAATATTGAAATGGATCTTTAAGAAATAAGCTGTGATTATTATAAATCAGACCAAACTGGCCAAGAATCAGGTCCAGCTATAGGCTTTGGTGTCAGTCGTGTCAGAAACTTCAAGTTATGTTATCAGGTGCTATTTATACTCACATGTACAGTTACAGGGGATATTTTTCCATCTCCCTCAGGTGGCACATATGGCTCAAACACTCCACCTGTGCAACTGATGTAAAATGGACGTTCTACCCATGGTCTTGGAGGCTGAATTCCTTTTTCTTTCATCTTAGATCTAATTTCTTCTGGTGTCATATCATCTTCTGTTCTTCTGTCTTCAAAGTCTGGTAGCTTCACTTTCACCACCTTAAATTTATAATAAAAATGAATCCTCCACATATTATTATAACCATATCGATATTATAATAAAAATTATAGCATTCAGGTTCCTGTCAGGAATAATTGAAGAAAATATGGGACGTGAAACAAATATATTAACAAAATAGACTAGCTTTTATATATGTATTATTTGCAAGACGACACCAGTATTACAGTAACTGACACTAATAAGTAAAACTTTGAAATAAATCTCAATCAAACTTTCAGAGATATAATAAATACATGGTTTAATGCTAATTTGCTTACCTTGAATTTTAATGCGACTCAATATGTTGAGTTTTGACCTATGAATTATTATAACATCACTACTCAAATTAACTATGATCAGATAAATTTAACAAATTTAACAATCCCAGTCACAAATGTGACTGAGACAAAATTTCTGGGATTAATTATTGAAAAAGAAAGTTATTAGAATTATAACGAATTCTAGACCAGGAGAGTATTGTAGGGACACTTTTAAGAATTTGGAAATGATGACGTTCTACACTCAGTGCATATATTCATTACTTTTATACACAATTAATAATAAACATTTAATTTTAACAATGAGATTTACAAATACAATAAAGGTGCATACATATCAGGTATTAAAGATTTTAATCATCTTCCTCAAACAATACAAATGTTGGCTACTGATGTGAGAAGTTTTAAATCTGCATTGAAGAGGTTTTTATATCATTTTTTTTTATTCCATGAATGAATATTATCAACATAATTGGTCATCAGTGTGTAAATTTGTAATGTATTTAATTCAGTTAATACAGGTAATAATTTAAATAAAATTGTATTAATTCAAGTTTTATAGCAAGTTATTTTTAAATTATCTTATTAAATTTTTTACTTTATATTATTCTTTATGTTAATCAATTAATGTAAGTGATTTTGATTAGTGACTCGTGTAATTTTCTATATGTATCTTGATATATCTATTTTCAAAGCAACCATTTCCACATCCTAGATTTCTTACCTGTATCGATATATGGAAAATAAAGGAAATGAATGAATGAATGAATGAATGAAGAAATGCATATAAACTTTGGCTGGGAATTATATGGAAAGTAGTTGCTTAGAAGACAAAAGGATAAGGAAATTACACTGAACAGGGACTTCAGAAAATATGATGTATGCAAAGCTCGAAAATATGCTCACTGACACAATAATGGGTGAATTAATAGTCTGGTGGCAAAAAATAAGTATATGACATATATTATGTACCAGTATTCCATTAAGCAGCTAACAAATTTGAATTGTATATCTGGAACCCTGAAAATGGAACTAGTCAAAGTGGATAGGAAAGGTTGCGAAGATATGAACTGGACTGAAATGGCTTGGGATCATTCATACAGATGAGCTTTCCTGGTAGTGACGTGGAATCCTATGATATGTATGTAATGGCCATCTTGTAGTGCACTCAATTTCATATGTCACTTCTTACTACATGTTTCGGCAACATAGTGCAATCTTCAGGTTCGTTATTTACACTAAGCTATTACACTGTTTGCCATCTTGTGTCTTTCATAAAATTATTTAGAAAGTACATTATTCGTCAACTATAATAAAATTTGTATATACTAAAACTTGTTAAGATTATTCATCTATATGTCTTAATTCAAACTCGCGTATAGTATGGTTCGTCCACTATGAGAGTCGTTTCTGTGCGAGCGTTGTAATGAACATTACAACACTCGCAGCCAAAAAGGAAGGACACATCACAGAAACGACTCCCACAGTGGACGAACCATACTATACGCGAGTTTGAATTAAGTCATATAGATGAATAATCTTAACAAGTTTTAGTATATACAAATTTTATTATAGTTGACGAATAATGTACTTTATAAATAATTTTATGAAAGACAGAAGATGGCAAACAATGTAATAGCTTAGCGTAAATAACGAACCTGAAGATGGCACTATGTTGCCGAAACATGTAGTAGGAAGTGACATATGAAATTGAGTGCACTACAAGACGGCCATTACATACATATCATGGATGAAAATCAGTGCAACAGGACGCTAAAATACAACATTATGGAATCCTATGGTTCTATTACTAGAGTTAATTGCTCAGTCAGACCCCCATCCTCTTGCACAAAATGTACCCCATATTTTTATGATGCAAATCTGACAATCCTAAGCACCATGTGAATGCAAGGACTTATAAACCATTAATAGAATTATATTTTATGTATTAACTTTAATATTACCTTCTTTGGGGAGGGGCACATGGTAGCGTGGTTGGTTGGGGCACTATGCTACCAGCCAGAAGGTAGAGGGTTAGAGTCCTGATGAGGTGGATGTTTTTCAATTGACCTAATTCTTTAATTCGCACTATGGGCCTGGGGTCAACTCAGCCTCTAACAAAAGTTAGTACTGGGAATCTTCCTAAGGGGTAAAGGGCCGCAGGCGAATACGACTGACAACCTTACCACCATCTATAAGCCAACTGTCTAGAGAAAATGTGGAAGCCTCAAAATCTTACACCCTTATGGGCCTTCACGGCCTGTTACAGGGACAGCTTTACCTTTTTTTACCCATTACATTACCTTTCTTGTTCGATGCCATTTGAACTTTGGATCCCAATGTTTACTGCCATGTCTTACAAACTCCAAATTAGCTGCAGCTGCTCTGATACATGGTGTTAACAGTCCAAATGGTGTAAACTGAAATTAAAATGTAGTCAATAACAACATTACTTGGCTGCAGTTAAAACCAAACATAAATTTGTTGTTTAGTATTACTGAGATTCTGCATTTTGTACACTGCCTAAAATTCCAAAACGTTAGTGTTCTGCTCAGAATGTTATACAGTTAATGAAGTCTTGAAACCCAGTAATAACAAGTTTAATACAGCATCAGCAGAACCCTTTAGAATTAGCGATGTTAAGGAAATTTGGTTAAGGCAAAAAATGAGATCGTTCACCAAAAAATTCTCCTTCTGAAAGGGATCAAACAATAACTGGGTCATGTCATTGAAGCGCCATACTTCCCATACAGTGACAAATTAAATTCTGAGTTAAGTACGCTACTGCATAACGTTCTTTCTCTTTTCCTAAACTATGTTTAGTGACTTAACCCATTTTTCTCTGTCACTGATAGTTCCACTCGCAACACATAACCTCTTCGAATTGCAAAATTTCATACTTTAATTTACGGTGTGTTACTTACCTGAGAGCATTTTATGTACAAATTCATAACAGAGAAAGACATTGGTACAAATAAGTTTCAATTCTATTCACATCCGTTGACTCAATACTTCCTTCCCGCAGTCAAACATGTGTAAGTAAATTATGGATATGACGGTACAATAAATAGCGATAAATAGTACGTATCTGTGCACGTCTTATCTACGAAATAAACATACTGCAATCAAGCTTTCGCTAGCGTTAAAAATTCTCACGCAAATTCCCGTCACCGAAGCCGTGCCAATCAGCGGATTAGCCCCACATACGCACAGGCTCCCTTAGGTTGTCTGTATCGTTAACGCACAGGCTCCCTTAGGTTGTCTGTATCGTTAACGTGAAGACGGAATGGCCTGAAGCGGCCTGAACCGCCTGAACCGTTTCAGTCGTTTCATTCGAGGCGCGTTCCAGCTCGGTGCAGATGGTGTCTGCATGGAGAGACCGAAGAGAAGTGATTCATTTTTAGAAGATCTAATTGAAATGTACAAAGCTAATTCATGTTTATGAAAAATAAAATCGAAGGAGTATAGTAATAAGAAGAAAAAAAACTATTGGCTTACGAGAAATTAGCAGAGAAGTTAAGAGAAAAGGATCCTGCAGCTAACAAGGAAAGCGTAGTAAAAAAAATCAACAACTTACGAAGTTCATTTAGTAAAGAAATAAAAAAAGTTAAAGCTATCATTGCGGAAAGACATAAACGAAGTCCTCTTCGAAGCTCAACTGGGAACCCTAAACAGACAAACTTGAGTTGCAACATATGATTTTGCCCAAAATATCCATCAGAATTCTGGGTGGCAGCAATCGTCTGCTTTGGTGTTCTTTAATAATTATAACCTAAACAGTAATATTTGAATAAAAATTTTTAGTTTAAATAATTTGAATAATTATTTGGAATAAATATACTAAGAAGTCTGGTATATCTGACAAATTTTATTTTATTTTTATAGTAGTTCATTTTCTAATAAAGGTATAAAAAGTTTTTAAATTTATTTACTTACCTCCAGATACTCCTTTTTTAATGCCTTGTAAATTGCAGCACAAGTTTCAGGAATAATATAGCTCAGCGCTTGTGGTGATATAATTACAGAAATTCTGAGATCTACATAGCTTCTCCCTGTTGCTAGAAATCTCAGTGTTGCTGTTAGTCGTTCGTGACTAGCGTTTCTCATTATTGTATCTTTCTTTTCAATAAAAGTTTGACCATTTGGTGCAGTATTAAATACTTATCGTCATCCATATGTAAATAATTAAACCAATCTTGTTTCTAAAATTTTAATTCGGTAAATAGATTAATGTGAGAAACCTTCTGTCTTTCCAATAGCCAATTTTTACACCAATTCGTCTTTTATTGCGTTTCAAAGAGTCATTTTTCTTAATTACATTAGCACACACCACCACAGCAATTACACTCAATAATAATAATTTGCCGGAATACCTTTCCCAGACATGATCTGAAGAGAAACTAAATCTAAACTGAGGACATCGTATTATTTGGCCTGTACATGTGGCTGTTTCAGTTTACCTGCTCAGGCCAACCGGACAGGCCGCCTGAGCGTGTGTAGAGCATTTACTAGGTCATAAGATTTGTTTGTGGTACTACAGCTACTGTATTACCATAAACTGTATTTGGCGTCATATATATACTGTTGTTAGTAGAATCAAGGAGGACCATAATAAAACTAGCAATAACATCGTACCTGAGTATCACTCATAACATATAATTCACCCACACCACGCAATATCAATACAACAAAAAACACACTCCGTAGTTTTAGTCCGCAAGCGAACTATTCAAAACTTAGATTATATCAATATACGCTATTTATTTTCAAATATAAAACATAACAAGGAATCACGGAAGTTACCTTCCTCTACAATACATGACAAGAAACATGGAAAGTAACATCATCACGACGGGTCAGAAATATATATAAAAAAAGCCAAAATTACATATATCATAATTTTAACAGTTAACACTAATATGCAACCGTATTAGGATAATTCAATAACAAGTTACGTGTTAAGAATTCTGCATGATGATGATCGAAATAACAATCGAAACATGTAGCAGTCACTAAATAAAACAAATGCAAAGCAGTGATATTAGATTGGTTTAATTGTTCACAAATTTATTGTGTTGTGGATGTCGATGTTAAAGTTTCGGAGGTGCATTTTGCCTCTATCTTCAGTTTCGTAGTGTGCAGTGTGGTGAGTTTCTGTATGTACACCAATGCCTGAGATATGCAACATAGTATACAGAGACTAAACGCAGACGGTAAACATTATGTATGGCACTACACTATTTGGTGATCCGTGAGTTTGTGAGCAGCAGGCTGCTGAGTATGTGTGGGTGTAAACGAAATCGACGCTCTCAGATCTAGAAACTGCGCACTGGTATGGTTTTGCGCAGAATGTCGGGTAGCAGCGTCAAACGATATAAAAACAGAACTCAACATAATAAAAGAAGCAATTTAGCATAAAATCCAGTAACAACACAGCACGACGGGACATCTTGAGAAACACCCTGACTTAGGCAGCGTCTACACGAGCGCACAAATGCGTCCGTTGTAACGAACGTACTTTGCAGACAAAAATACTATGCACCGCATTCTGCAACTGTGTAGTGTCCTCAGCAACGTCCTCAGCAAAGTACGTTCATTACAACGGACGCATTTTGTGCGCTCGTGTAGACGCTGCCTTAGTCGAGGAGAAACACACGTTCTTTCCATATTATACAGCAGAGTAGCCGTACATTATTGCTCGTTTTGGTGACACCCATGATGTATAATCTTTGAACTAAATTACGACGCACATCGCTTAGTGTATATTAATGGAAGTGTTATATTAGAGACATAGAATACAATATTATATTTTATTATATATATGGCTTAAGCATATTTTTCAAAGTTCTAGAGTTGTTTGTGTGCATATATCAAGAGAATTATAATTACATAAAAACGGTACTTCAATCTACTTCAGCATAAAATTTCCGGATCTTCCGTCACACGTTGCTTAATATTCTCTGAACATCAAGCGCCTCATAAGGTGTTCTGTCCTGCAAGTTTAACAGGTTTTCATGTAAGTATATTGCACAGAGAAGTGTGTGTTTAGTTTCAGCTGAAGAGTTTGAAAAACTTGGAGTCTGAGGAATCTATGCAAGTTATATTTATTCCTACATTTGTTGAAATTACGAATTTAATCCGTGAGCTTTGGGTGATCATTCCATCGCCTTTTCGTTGTGGATTGTTCAGCGTTGTTAGGGGTCATGGTGTCGGCCTACTTTTTGATAGTTTGAATTAATATTTGGTGCCAGAATGTGAAGTATAATACAGATTTTGACAGCATAAAAATTATCCCATAGTGTAATTACTCTTACATTCCACCCTATTGAATAATGTGGCCATTGACCTCATAGAGCAAATTCTATCATTTTTGCCTCAAACAACTGGCGTAGTTTTCGTGTGTGGTAACAGTTTCGGGACTAAATTACCGGTTCATAGTGTGATATTAACTGAGGCTTAGGGTGGACCTAAAGTGGAACCCCCCAGCTATCCTGTTTTGCGATTTAATTGTTCTCACTGTTTTTCGTTTCATAGTCAAATCAGTTTTCAGCATAATTGTAATATCCTAAAGCTGTTTTAGGTAATTTGATTAGTAAATTATAAGAATCGTTACTAATGTGATAGAACATGTTTTATTGATAATCAAGAATAAAAATCGTTACTTAAATGGTAGGATGTGTTTCATTGAGACTGTGTGAGCTTTCTTGATGAGTTCACATGTAACCAAAATATATATTTTTTGTTTCATTTAATACAGTAATTGTTACAGAATATTTGTGTTTTCTGCGTGTTTTAATGTTGATGTAACATCACTGTTACAGTATTTGTTGATTTCCCTTTATAGAAACCATGCTGTTTGCTGTGATTATTCAAAAATGATAAAAGTCTTTTATTCATGATTTTTCAGTTATTTTTTAAAAAACAGAAATTAGTGAAACTGTAATTCCCAACTTCTGTATCACATCCTTTCTTATACAAAGGTTTCACATTTTCAATTTTTAGTTGATCAGAAAAATGCCCAGTTGAGAGTGACAGATTTATTATATGTGCCAAAGCAGTTGTTATTTTAGGATAACATTTTTTAATAACATACTCTGGAATATCATCTATTCCCATTGATTTTTTATTACTCAATCCTTTAATTGTGCCTGCCACTTCCTCTTCAGTAGCTGTCCTGATATGACAGTAGAATCACTCCATAAAAGCAATATGCCAAGATTGTTAAGTGCTAAAAATGCTGCCTTTTATGAGCACTCGCACAGTCACACTGTATTGTTTAAATAGAAGTAGGTTGACATGAAGTTCTTGAATCATTCTTAAAATTTCTCTGCTCCATATGTTCTCTATCTCTTCTATGATGATGTTTGTTCTGTTTACTTTGCCTTTCAAACTTTTCCATGAATGGTGTTCATCATACACAGAATAATTTTTACTTCATGAGCAGAAACTCTGTACATTAAATGCCATTTCACAAAAGTCTAGGAACAGTTATTTTTTTGGAAGAAATGTCATTGCAGATGAAACCAGGATTTATCAGAGAAAGGGGTTAAATAATGGTTATTTTCAGTCTTGTGCGGTGACTTCGGAAATCTTTCTAGCTAGACCGATGTTCTGGTGTGGCTAGAGTTCCTGTTTCACCCATGTGCTCTTCATTAAGCTATGGATCTATACATCCACTCCCCCATACACCTTCATGGCATAGTGATTAATTAGTTAAGCTCTTCATTAAGCATATGATATGTAATGGGTTTCTCATCCAGAGGTGATCCAGTAAACATGACTTCAGTACCCAAATTTGTGGATGCCTGTTATGTTTGAAATCATGTTCATAGGAAATTTATGGTGAAATTTTCCCTGCTGTCTCCTAGCAGAATGGTGCTTAACCTTTAAACGCCGGACTTCGAAATAGTGGTAAGCTTGAGCTGGCCGGAGTTTATTTAAATGTCCGCTGCTGGTGCGCGTTTAAATGTCCGTTCCTGTTAGGCGCTTAATCAATTTTAAGCGTTGTGTTTAAAAATGCTCTATCTAGCTCAATTTTTATGATAAATGGATGGAAATAACTTTGTTTATTTCAGAAAAGAACATAGTGTCGCATATTATAAAGGAAGATTTGAAATTTTTAATACAAAGTGTTGTACTCTATTTTCAATTTTTTGTGTTTTAATTTTGATGCGTACTGCAAAAATGGTTTCCCAGTTCTTCACAGAGTTGTTCTGCATTATAACTTCATTTCTGTTTGTAACACTTGACAAATTTTAGCAGTCTCTGGTGTCATAAAACAGATGGAAGCAATAAAATCATTTGGTCTTCTGCTAGCGCTGCTTACACCCTTCGGATTTTCGAATACTTGACTGAAGGTCAGAAGAATGAAAGAATGGCTATTCAAGAGAAAGCTATAGGGGTCCCCTCTTCAGTGCTAAGATGTTCCGTTAGGGCTGCAAAAGCTTATTGCCCCTTCTATTTGAATGAACAGACAGCTGCATCGTGGCTGAGATACAGAGCGTGATCTCTTTTGTGTGCGTTCGTAGTGAAATCGAATACTGTAGTTTCATTTGAACCTATATATACATCAAGAAGGTAACAACAAAAAAGGTATGTACATCGAATTTTACACTATATTTTTAACATACCTATCTGCAGAATCTGCAACAAAATTACTGGATTGTGGATAAGTTTTGGCATAACTCATACGTATATTTTTATTTGCTGTTGTTCAGTAAGGTATTATTTTAATTCCTCTATTAGGGTTTTACTTAAGTCGGTCTGGTAATTACTACATTTAAAAATAAATATTCAGGACTGTGCATGCGCTTCTACTAGCGGCGTGTGCGCGCGCTTCCACTAGCGGAGTTTAAATGCCTGACTGGCCACAACTGGGTACTTTGGCCACGACGACCTTACTCATGACTGGCACAAACTGGGCACTTCGGCACTTAAAGGTTAATATGCAGTTGATACAGAACAGTGCTTTACACTATTAAACATTATTGCAGTTGGAGGTAGGCTGTTGCTGGCTGGCATATAGAAAGTGATAGAAGCATATACGTAATTTAGCAGGAAGATGCTGAGCTATGTTAACACATTTACAGTGCATATTACTGCAAAATTACAGGTTTATGTGCAGACTTTTAAGTCTGTAAAGTATTTTAACAAACAAACAAGGGATGTCTTTATAATATTGTGTTGTTTCTGTCCAGGTGCTCTGTTCACTGATAACTGTTAGCATTGTAGTTGTACTAGGTGGTTGAAATATGACCGGGACTAATTTTTTTTTTTTTGGTAAACAAGCTGCACTGCGCAGCAGCTGTGCGACCTTGAGAGAGTGAAGCCACAACCTCCACCCTCCCTCCTGTTAGGGTTAGAACCTGTTCAGGCCTGTTTGGAAGTTGCTAGAGTGATGAGTGAACAGAAGGTACCGCGGAGCGTGGAACAACGCATTGTGATCAAATTCCTCGGAGAAAACGTCCCGTCCGCTGAAATTCACCACAGACTCCAACAACAGTATGGGGAAGAGTGTCTCTCACGGACCCATGTGTTTGAGTGGTATAAGTGCTTCAGAGAGGGTAGAGAGCACGTGGAGAATGAACCGAATGATCGTCGGCCGCAAACATCCGTCACTAAGCCAAACATTGATTGTGCAGATGCACTTACTCGTGAGAATAGGCGCATCACTATCAAGGAACTTGGAGCAATGCTGTCCATCAGTGTTGGTAGTGTAGAAGACATCGTGAAATACCACCTGCACTATTGCAAGGTGAATGCACGGTGGGTACCACGCACTTTGACGGACGTGAACAAAATGGTGCGCATGCAATTTGCCAGTGGTCTCCTACAGCAGTTTGAAGACGAAGGTGATGTATTTTTGAAATCTGTAGTGACCACGGATGAAACAAGGGTGCACTACTTCATTCCCGAGTCCCAGCAATCATCACGCGAGTGCCGGCATACCAGTTCTCCCAAACCCAAGTGAGCGCGGAGGAGCCATTCGGCAGGAAAAGTGATGGCAACGTTCTTCTGGGACTGGCAGGGGGTTATCCATGTAGACTTTCTGACAGATGCCAGAACAGTCAATGCAGCTTATTACTCAGACCTCCTGGCAACAGACATGAAGGAAAAGATCTGATCCAAGCAGAAGACATGTGGAAAGCGGGTAGCCTTCCTTCAAGACAGTGCACGCCCCCATATGGCCAAAACAATGGAAACCCTCCAGAAATTGAAATTGAACCTTCTGACACATCCGCCGTACAGTCCCAATTTGGCACCAAGTGATTTCTACCTGTTCGGAAGGCTCAAATCAGACTTGCAAGGCATGCGGTTTGTGGACGACGTGATCCAGAATGTTCGGGAGTGGATACGCTGCCAGCCGCAAAACTTTTTTGAAAAGGGCATCAGGATGCTTCCAGAACGTTGGAAAAAATGTGTTGACTCCGGAGGGGAGTACGTTGAAGACTGACGTGCAAGTAAGTGTTTGGCAATTTTGGTTTAAAATAAAATGAGTCCTGGTCATATTTGAACCACCTTGTATTACCAAACTTTAGGAGGTTGTTGAGATAGTTTAGAGCAGTTTGTCCATTTTACCACTTTTTGACAATTTCAGTGTTTCAGACTTACAATTTGGATTCTTTTGCAAGTTATGCATGTTGGTTTGTTGGAACCTTCATAACATCACAGTACAGAGCTCATACTGCATTCACCGATGATCCTCATTACTTCTGACAGGAACACAGTGTTAACAGCATAACAAGATGGCATGATTTACTATGGCAGAATTTGCCAGTATGCATTTCATGTATGGCATTTGTGGTGGTAGTTTCATTGAGGGAATACCAGTATTAGTATCCAGACTGGAAGCAGTCCAACAGACATGTGCAGTGGTACACCACATTCTGAGGGAAATGGGTGCATTCATGCCACTGGCTTGCACTGGCTGTGGCAGACAGAATGTGCAGATTGAAAAGGAAGTGTTAAATGCTGTACATCCTAATCCATCAACTAGAACTTGCTGAGTCGCATATG